GTAGCCCAGGCTGGCCTCGAACTCACAGCGATCCGCCTGGCTCTGCCTCCCGAGTGCTGGGATTAAAGGCGTGCGCCACCACCGCCCGGCCCTTCCTTTTCTTTTTAAAGGCGAAGTCTAATACAGTCCAGGCTGGCCTCAAACTTGCTAAGCAGACAAGGCTGACGCTCCTGCCTCCACCTGGGTGCTGGTGCTGGTGTTACAGGCGTGTGCCACCACGCTCTATTGCCTGTGGTGCTGGGGATCACCTACCCAGACTCTACACTGAGCCAATGGAGACCAGCAGCTCTGCTGGTTCTGGGTCCCGGCTCAGCGTGGGTCTTTATGATCAGCACACCATCGTGCTGTGCTGTTCTTTAGTAGCATCTTCTTCAGTGGGAGGGGTGCTGCGCCCTCTAGCGGGCCCCAAAGCTGTAGCTTGCAAAAGGACCATTTGGTCGCTTCAAATCTAGAGGCTGAGACTTCCACAGCACACAGCCAACCTTTAGCCTTTGGAGAGGGTTCTCCCTGGCCACGCCTCATAGCCAGCTTGATCGGGCAATTCATAAATGCCCGGAGGGAAGGATGTAACAAGTCATTTCGGGTTTTATGAGCCTCTTAAAACTGCCTCCCAGAAACTACAGCCAAGTCGTCCTGACAGTCTCAGGGACAAGTGGGCGTGGCTGCCAGCCCTAACCCAGGACAGCAGGAGCAACAGGGAAGGAAGTGGGGGTGGGGGTGGGGGTGGGGACATGTTGCACAGGGTCGGGGAAAGAAGTCAGGGAGACTTCTCCAAGACAGTCACAAGCCACCCTCTGCTTTGCTGGGGGGAACTCTGGACTTCCTAAAAACGTCAGAAGAGGCGTCCTAGTAACCTTTGTCAACCTGACAGAGCCTGGAGTCGTTGGAGGGGAGCGCCTCACTTGAGGAACTGCCCAGATCGGACTGGCCTGTGAGTCTGCTTGGGGGACTGTCTTGTGCCCGGTCCGTGGTGGGCAGCACCATCCCTCCGCAGGTTGCCCTGGAGTGTATCAATGTTAGCTAAGCATGAGTCGGGGGGGGGGCGGGGGGAGCAGCAGGGCTCTGCCACAGATACTGCTCCCGTTCCTGCTGCAGTTGCTGCCCTGGCTTCTTCAAAGATGGGCTGTGTGAGACCTGCAAGCCCCCTTCCCTCCCCTAAGCGGCTTCAGAGCAAGGTGTCTATCACAGCAGTGAAGCAAAACCAGTAAAACAAGGGACACGTTAGGCCACCAGGCAAGCTTCCTAGCCTAAGATTTTAGTATGATCACTGTTGCTGCAGATTACAAATCTGACTTTAAGGCGATTTTCTTTTTAGACAGGATCTTGCTAGATCGCCCAGGACAGCCTCAAAATGTAATCCTCCTGCCTCAGCTTCCTGAATGCTTGGATTACAGGTGTGCACTACCACACCCAGCCAACTCTTCTCGAGCGTTCAGTGTTGGACACACTACTTCCTCCTCCCCCACAGTCGATTGCTCCTGGATCTAAATCCCAGCCCTGGCACCACCTCTGGGACTTCTGGCTAGTCACCAGCTGGGGCTGACAGACCCCTAACAAAATGAGAAAGAACTGGGACAACAAGATGACTCTGAGGGCAAAGGCATTCGTGGTAAACCTGACAACCTGAGTTCCGTCTCCTGGACCCACATGGTAGAGGGAGAGAACCAACTTTCACGTGTCCAACTCCACATGCAAGTTATGGAACACACACACACACACACACACACACACACACACACACACACACAGCAAAAAAGCTTAAATGTGGGAGGGGAAAAAAGAACAATCCTCATCTCACCTCTTCAAAGGCAGGACAAATGATAAAACGCACGCACAGTGCTGGGAAGAGGCTCCCCTCAAGTCTCAGTCCCACAGCATCACCCTGCTCACGTCACTCAAAACTGCACGTATCCCACGGTGTCCCTCCCCAAACCCTTCCCCAACTGTGACTGTTCCCAGCGCTGATGCAGCCTCCGTGTATATTACACTCCTTCAGGATTTACTTTTTACTTCTTAATTGTGTATGTGTGTGCCCAGAAAAAGGCATCGGATCCCCTGGAGCCAGGGTTAGGCTGTGCTGGCTAGTTTTATGTCAGCTCGACACAAGCTAGTGTCATTTGGGAAGACGGAACATCAACTGAGAAAATGCAGCCACTAGAATGAATGACCTGTGGGCAAGCCTGGGGAGCATTTTCTTAATTAGATACTGACAGGGGGAGAGAGGGCCCAGCTCACTGTGTATGGTGCCACCCTGGGCTGGCGGTTCTGGGCTGTGTAAGAAAGCAGGCCGAGCAAGCCTTGGAGAGCAAGCCAGTAGGCAGCACCCCTCTAGTTCCTGCCTCCAGGTTCCTGCCTTGACTTCCTTCTTAGATGGACTGTGATGTGGAAATGTGAGTGAAATAAACCCTTTCCTCCCCAAGTTGCTTTTGGTTATGGTGTTCGAATCACAACAGCAGAAAAATAACTAAGACACAACCCAGACAGCTGTGAGCTGCCCTACCTTGGTGCTGAGCACAGAACTCTGATCCTCTGCCAGAGCAGTATGTGTTCTTAACCACCAGGTCATTTCTTCAGCCCCACATTTTACTCCTTATGTGATATCTGTAGTCTGAGCCATACTAATGCTAAGCTTTACGATGGCAAGGCACGTCTCCTTAGTGTTCCCAAAGAATAATGTCTGACCCACAGTATTCATACAGACTTGATGATTATCTATTGACAGGATTAACGAAGAGGCTCTTTCAGTTTTCTCCTTTAAACAGTACCATTCGCACTGGCAAGGTGGCCAGTGAGTTAAGAAACTTGCCAGTAGGCCTGACAACCTGAGTTCAATCCCTGGGACCTAAATGGTGGGAGGAGAAACTGACTCCCTCAAGTTATCTTCTGATCTACACACACACACACACACACACACACACACACAGAGCATGCACACATGCAAACTTATATACACACAAACCTTTAAGTGCTATTAGGTCAAGAAGACTGCATTTTCTTTTTTTTTTCTAATTTCATTCCTGGATTTAGTAATTACTATAAAAATGATTATACATGTAAGAATCTACATGCATATAAATCATAGAAAATTAATTATGATAACATTAAAAAATTATATTATCATAAACATTATGCCCTTATCATTTTGAAGGTAATGTTAGGGTGGTAGCTGGAGGTGGAAGGTCAAATAGAGATGCTAAAATGTCTACTCTGCATACTTAGAAACCAGGAGAAACCACAATGCTAGTGGGTTAGAAAACTGAAGCTTGGGCTGGGGAGATGACCCAGAGAGTAAATAAAGGGAATGTCTCCAGAGCCCCAGGACCTGAGTTTAACCCTAAAACCCAGGGGAAAAGGAAGTCAGGCATGGTGATGCACTGTAATCCCAGCACTGGAGAGGGTAGACAGCAGTCCCCTGGGACAGACACACTGGCCTGTCAACCCAGCCTACTTGGCAAGTTCCAAGCCAGCGAGAGAGCCTGTTTTTAAAAAGGTAGACAGTGCTTGAGGAACCAGAGCTCATCCCCTCGCTTGCTTACACACACACACACACACACACACACACACACACACACACCAGATTAAATAGAGCTTTATAGCACGAGAAATGAAAAAGAGTGTGCATATAAACATGTACACGCCACCTCCACCGTAAGGCCCCTCCTCCCTCTCATTAGATCTTTCTATGGCAAACGCTGGAAACTTACATTTTTTGACCGATCGTAGAGTTTTCCTGAAAGAGCAAGTCCACATCCACATCAAAGTTGCAAGTGGTGATACACCACGTCATCCCTCCTACTACCTGCAAGAAAGGAGAATGCTGTTTCTCACGAACCCCTCAAGAAGAGAAGCACAGGGTGGGAACTGAATTCCAGGACAGTTCACACAGACTCAGTAAGGACACAAAACTGTAAATATCTGGTGTGCATGCACATGTGTTCATGTGTGTGTGCGTGCATGTGGAGGTCAGACACCAAACACTGGCATCAATCCTCAGATGCTGTAAACCTTGTTTATCGAGACAGAGTCTCTCACCGGCCTGGAACTGGCTAATTTGATTAGACTGGCTGGCCAGGGAGCCCTGTCTCCAAGTCCCCAGTGCTGGGATGACAGGTGCCCACCACACCCAGATTTTTATGTGGATTCTGGGGGTTGAACTTAGGTCGTCATGCATATATAACACTTCACTGACAGCTACCTCCACAGCCCCCCAAATAATAAATCTCTAGAGGGAATGAGTCTCCTGACCCACCATTCACCAACCAGCACTTCTGTAAACGCTTCTGCCGTGGTGGCAATGTCCATCCCTACACCGTGTGCTACAGAAGCTGCTGGCCCTGTGTGGTTACTGAGTACTCCAAGTGCTGCCAGTGTCACTGAGAAGCTGACTGTCATCATGAAATGGTCTTATCACTCACTGATCCTCTTCCAAGGGAAGGGCCACACATTATGTGATCAGAGATTTCTGTTGTATGTGTGTGTGTGTGTGTGTGTGTGTGTGTGTGTATGTGTGTGTGTTCACCTGTTCATATGTGACAGGTGTGTTTGTGTGTGTTCACCTGTTTGTATGCGATATGTGTGTTTACCTGTTCATATGGGCTAGGTATGTGTAAGTGTGTGTGTGTGTGTGTGTGTGTGTGTGTGTGTGTGTATGTGTCTGTTGCCCTGTTTGTGGGCATATAGAGGTCAGAGAGACACTAGGTGTCCTCTGTTGTTCTATGCCTGAAGTTTTTGAGACAGGCTCTCACTGAATCTAGAGCTCACATAGCCAGGGATTCCCGGGGATCCCCCATCTCCCAGGTGCTGGGAGTACACCTGCCCATCACTACGGCTAGTTTTTTACATGTGTTCTGGAGACTGAACTCAGATCCTCACACTTGCACACCAAGGGGAGATTTCTTAGCCCAGCTTCTGAGTGCCAGATTGAGAGGGATTATGTGTTTTACCAACTGGCCACATGGGCAGCAAGGCTGACATTCTCTGGCTCCTTATTTAAAGCTAAGACGTACAATAAAATACACATTTCCAGGTCCCCAGCGCAGACCTGACTAAGCAGAAATGCAATGGAGGAGGTCTGGACATTCTTCTTATAAAACATCCCTTGTGGGTTCTGCTGCAAACAGGAGGAGGGCGACACCCCGGAGCAGGAGCATGCAGCTCTATTTCCAAAGGTTTCCTGGCCTACCTTGCCACTGGTCCCAGATGCTTGAGGAGAACAATCTACTTGGTATCATATAATTTAGTCCCTGCCTATCGGTTCACTTGTAGCAGTGGAGATCTTCGAACGAAGGGCTAGTGTTTATCTCCGTGTCCTCAACACCTCGTACTATGTCCTATGCATGATAACTATTCACAATTCTCTTAATTTAAAAAACACCATCCCGGGGTTAGAGAGACGGCTCAGTGGTTAACAGTGTCTGCTGCTCTTGCAGAGAACTTGAGTTTGGTGCCCAACACCCACACTGTAACTCCAGTTCCAGAAGATCCAGTGCCCTCTTCCAGCCCTCACGGGCACCTGTACACACTGACACACATGTACACTCAATTGAAAATAAAATAAATCTTAAGATTCCACCCCATGGTGAAGCTCCCTCCTCTAAACATAGCAGCTGCCATCTACAGAATAGCTGCCATTGTTTCTAAGTGTGTGGTTCAAGATAAGTATGAACTCGGGTTATTGTCTACGTATAAATTTATATTCCCACCCAAACTGCATGTTCCTCAAAAGAGAAACAGTTTCTTGGGTGTGAGCAGTGTTCATGTGGGCATGTGTACATATGTGTACATATATGCACACATATAGAGGCCACAGGTCCGCTAGTTGAGACGGGGTCTCTCACTGTCCTAGAACTCATCAGTTTGGCTCGGCTGGCTAGGCCAGGGAGTCCCCGGGACCTGCCTATCTCCACTTCCCCAGGACTGGGATTACAAGCATGCCAGCGTGCCTGGCTTTTAAAAAAAAAACAAAAACAAAAACATGGGGATCCAAGTCAGGTCCCCACACTTTCCAAGCAAGCATTTTACTGACTGACTGAGCCGTCCCTCCAGCCTGAGGAAATAGTTCTTTTGCTTTTTACGTTTCCTAAAACACTGTGTACAGAAAGGGGATCCCATTGCATCTACTGACTTATAATTCTCTTTGAACAGGAAGTCTGAGTACATCCATGAGGAGTCTGGCTTGGAAGGAATGGAGTCACGGGTACAGAGGAAGTAAAAACACAATCACTTCACCCTCCACTACCTTGGTTAACCATGCTGTCCTCTGAGGAATAGCCTCCTGGTCAGCAAGACTTTCTCTTACCTTGTCAAAGGGAGACAAGCCTTTGATTCTTGCTCTGAAATACCCAGCTGCAACCAGGAGCTCCAGGATCTCAGTCAACTTGACATTTTGTTCTTCATCTTCTCTCGTTTCCACCTAGAACAAAAGGGATGTGTAACTGGTAAAGGCCATCTCGATGGAAACAAGATCGATCCTTCCGGTGCCACAGCCACATTGCCAAGAGTGGTGACGGCGGCCGAATCCCTGCACTACTTCTCAGATCTCCTAAGGTGGCTCAGCAGAAGGAGTACTCGCCACATTAGCACAAGGGCCGGAGTTCAGCTCCTCAGAAGGCAGGTAAAGGCTGGGCAGGCACAGTGACCCACCTTCTAAGTGGTTCCACACTTAGAAGGACTGCAAAGACCACAGACTAGCTATTAGCACCCAGCCTAGCCCAACTGGTGAGCTCTGGGTTCAACGGGGAGGCCTTGCCTCAATGAATAAGGTAGAGACTGATGGAGGAAGAAGCCTGATGTCAGCCTCAGGCCTCCACATGTACTTACACATCCGCACATACACACATACTCACACACATGTGGACATCCATACATACGTGCACAGACATGTGTAGATAACACACACACACACACACACACACACACACACACACACACACACACACAAAATAGGAATCCTTCAAGTAGCCATCACGTGTCATGAAGATACTGCCAAGAAGAGGACACTACCTCCCAGAAGGACCATCTCCCACCTCAACTCATGTGTACAGCACTCTTGCAGGCTGCCTACACAAGGGAATGGCTGAGGCCTCTGTCCACTCTCCCCAGAATGTAGAACTGTATTTTCTGCAAGAGAACCAGTAAGCTAGGTTTTGGTACAAGACGCTGAGTGGGCATATTTGATTTCAAATTCACTTTACCCATTAGCACTGAAACAAAATGGGACGGGGTCATGGGCCGATATACAGAAAACCATCGTTTCTTGAAGACATAAACAACCACCACACTGGCTAATACATCCGGTTACTAAACCCAGAACACGGATAGCCACAGAGATAGGTCAGTGGTTAAGGGAACATACTGCTCTTCTAGAGGACCCAGGTTCAGTTCCCCTAGCCCACACCAGGCAGCTCATAACCACCTGAACTCATCTCCAGGGTATCTGATACCCTCCTCTGGCCTTCATAGGTTCCCAAATTCACTTGCACATGAAGGCACACAGACATATACATAAGTAAAAATAAATGGATCTATAACCAGAGCACTGAAGAAGATGAATGAGCACTGTGAGCCCTTAAACCAGGCCAAATAAACTCCTAACTGTCCGGCTCTCAACTGTGGCTCACAGAAGCTAGAAGAAGGGTCGAGCTATCATTCTTTCTTTCATATATACACAAAAGGGCTTAAAAACTGAATGGCATCAATTAACTGGATTAGTGAGAGCCAGGTGACGGGAATGTTGTTTTATCTTTTAAGACAGGGTCTCATGTACCTGAGGCTGGCCTTGAATTTGCCATACAGTTGAGGAAGCCCTCCAGCAACAGACAATGACACTGAATTTCTGATTCTCTTCCCTCCCCAGTTCTGAAATACAGGCATGCACCACCATCCAGTGCTGAGATCAGAGGTATGCTCCACCATCCAGTGCTGAGATACAGGCATGCACCACCATCCAGTGCTGAGATCAGAGGCATGCACCACCATCCAGTGCTGAGATACAGGTATGCACCACCATCCAGTGCTGAGATACAGGCATGCTCCACCACCCAGTGCTGAGATACAGGCATGCACCACCATCCAGTGCTGAGATACAGGCATGCACCACCATCCAGTGCTGAGATACAGGCATGCACCACCACACAGTTCTGAGATACAGGCATGCTCCACCACCCAGTGCTGAGATACAGGCATGTACCACCACCCAGTGCTGAGATACAGGTATGCACCACCATCCAGTACTGAGATACAGGCATGCTCCACCACCCAGTGCTGAGATACAGGCATGCTCCACCACCCAGTGCTGAGATCACAGGCATGCACCACCACCCAGTGCTGAGATCACAGGCATGCACCACCACCCAGTGCTGAGATACAGGCATGCTCCACCATCCACAGCTGAGATCACAGGCATGCTCCACCACCCAGTGCAGAGATACAGGCATGCACCACCACCCAGTGCTGAGATACAGGCATGCACCACCATCCAGTGCTGAGATACAGGCATGCTCCACCATCCACAGCTGAGATCACAGGCATGCTCCACCACCCAGTGCTGAGATACAGGCATGCACCACCACCTAATTTTTGCTTTGCTGGGATTAGAACTCAGGGCTCAAGCATGCTAAGCAAGCACTCTACCATGAACCCTCATTATTTGGATCTTTTAAAATTTTTCCTTGTGCTATAGTTTTTAGGACACAAGGCCAACTTTTTTTTTTCTTAAATGTATACCTATGTACACACTGTATAATACAGGCATTGTTTTGTTGTCCCTGTGTTTTGCTTTTTCTTTTTTGAGACAGGGTCTTACTATGTATGCCACCCTGGTGGGTCTGGAACTCTCTATGTAGACCAGACTAGAAAAGAGCAACAAGCCAGGCCCAGCCTCCTGCAGTCCATGAAGAGTCAAGTAAACTCATAAAAGTGGTTTGCTTACTAGTTTTAGAAAAACACCCACTAATTTGAGGGATTTAAGGTAGAACTGGAAGCCTGGACAGGACTCTATAGCAGAAGGCCCAGGCCTTAGTGCTAGAATAGTAACTCAGTTGGTAAAGTGCTTGCCTCACCCACATGAGGATCTGAGTTCAAACCCCAGAACCCACATAAACATGCCAGACATGGTGGTGTGCACTTGTAATCCCAGGGACTGAAGGATCCCTGGGACTCACTGGCCAATCAATCTAGCCTATCTGGTGAGCTCCAGGCCAATGAGACTCTGTTTCTCTGTGTCAAAGGAGGTTTTCAGTGTTCTTGAGGATGACAAGGGAGGCTGTATCCTGCCCTCCACACACATGTTCACATATGCACTCCAACACACACACACACACACACACACACACACACACACACACACACACACACACAGAGAGAGAGAGAGAGAGAGAGAGAGAGAGAGAGAGAGA